GTGCACCCCGAATCAATACGGGCGTTTCGCAATAGTGCACCTCCAAGAGTTTGCAAAGCGTTGGCCAATAACAATGCGCGAAATCTGTCGATCAAGCGCACGTTTAGAAATGGTCGACAAATTTCGCGCGTTGTGATTGGCCAACGTGTTGCAAACTCTTGGAGGCACACTATTATCAATCAACCGTATTGGCTACGACCGGAAATTACACCGAGTATTTGGCAGCATCCACGGCTAGTTCCCATTAAATCATGCATGATATCAAGCCGCCGCCAACTGATTCGGACACGGCCTTCGTGTCAAAGATACACGAATGACGTCATCTGATCAGAGTGCCCGACTGAAATGTGTAGAGGCCTTGGGGGATTCCTTTACCGTATATATTACTCAACCCCTCCAAATATTAAAGTTGGCGGCTTTGTAAATTGTTTAATGCAAAAAAGTCTTTATTTTGCCAACGCGCAGGTCTACGGCGACGCGCGCAGTGACCACAAACTGGAGACTATTTTTTTGGGGGGGCCTAAACATCAAACCCTTTTTTGCCCCCCAAAAGGCCTTGTGGTCTGCTTGAAACTCGCAGTACATGTAGTTACTCTTACCTCTGCAATATCATATTCGACACCCTTCTCGTGCTTTTTAATTAACGGAATCATTTGCCCGGGCATAATTTCCTCCGCAAAGTGATGTGCACAGGTTTGGTTCTCGGCCTGGTCACACTGACCAGGCAAAGGCCACACCGTGCACGTATGACGGGTAGGTGCAGTTTACAAGGCCAATGATGTCTCATGCAGTCGTTCGATTAGACTCACTGTTTTACACAATTAAATTTATGAATACTGTTTGAAATCATTTTGGGTTCAGTGTATTGGAAGTTAACTTCGCTTTTTTAGACAAGTGAGGGCATTGTGCTCGTTACAGGTTTTCATGGTCAGATATTGACTGCACCTGATATGACACCTCAGTTATCTTAATGAATATTTAAATTTTCATTAGCATAAAAACCAATTGTCCTTTCTCAATGACAGGTGCCCGCATTCACTCTTTTTAAATCCTGTTAGAGAAGAGGAAGTAATTGATATGCTAAATGCTGCTGCTGCTGCTGACGACGACGACGACGAAGCTAAAGACCGTTAGACACGAGAGATGTAGGATCAACTGCTCTGTCTGTAATTGCCTGTGTCATTCAAATTGTGGATAAGAAAGATCAAATGTGATACGATTAAAACACTCAAATCTTTTGGAGGTATTTTGACTGTCTAAGAGTAAGATCTGGCGATAACTGTCCAGTATTCAGTAAGGACGTGAACATTTCCTGTCAATATGAGGTATTTGGGATCGAAGATATTAAATTTTTACTTGAACATTTACTAACATTGAAATCTTACTGCTGAAACCACTAATTTTATTTTGTGTTTTAAGGTTGGAATATTGTAAATACTTTGGAAGCAAGTTCTAAATAAGAATTTGTATAAACAGAATAATATGTTTTGAAGTCGTCAACTGTGTGTGTGTTATCCCCGTTGTCCAATTCTGAACTGTGACATTCTGCGACTACATTGAAAACCTTGAAATATTTCTTTCGCAATTCTTGAATTCCTCTGCCGGGTTATTGACGTTCCATTGCATCTGTGGAATTTCCAAGTCATTGTTTACAATAATGGATTGTAACTGTCAGTGCGCCTCTAAAACGGTCAACAATGCCAGCAATATGTGTTAATGTAATGTTTTATAACATGGTCAAATTTAACAGTGCCAGTCAAAATCCATTGAAATCTTGTTGATTTGGCTAGTTCTGGCTGTCATGGCAATCCTGATGGTATAAAGTATGATTCTAACAGTTTTCAGTTAACGTGTAGATTCTGGTCGAACAGACTGGTTTTTTAAAACTGCAATCTGGCAGTTATGGAGTTGCCTCGGCTGTTCAACTATCACAGCACGAAATCCGGACGCGGACATACATGTATGTTACGATGTTAAGAAAAGAATGCGTATTACTCAGCATGCATGACGAAGACTTCTTGTAGTAAATCAGGACATGATACATTTGTTTTTGCAGAATCCATCTTTTAATTAGGTCATAAACAAGTACTACAGTAATACAAAGATTCTACTGCAACAGGTAATGGTGGGCCCAGCTACCAACTTGAAATAAATGGAAAATAACTGAAAATTACCGCGAAGAACATGTAGTCCTCATACAAAGAAAATGCCCAATTGTTTTTGATTATTGATAATGCACACTGGGGGCATCCGGTTGAATGTCAACAAGTTCAAATAATACATGTAGCTTTTTACGCCAGACACCAACAGGGTTTGTTTTGCAATCAGTTCAGACTAGTGTGCATCTGGCCACAATTCACGATTCAGGGAGAGCGATCTTCTTCAAAGAAATTGATCATGTTTTGGTCCTGATTTCCTAACGTAAGAAACGATACGTTAATTGTTTGACACATTGTGTCTATATCAGAATTGGTTTATCTTCGATATTTATACCCAAACAGAGCAAAATACAGAGCAAGACATGCTTTCAGGAAGCACAATAACTGATGGTGCTCAGGCAGAGGTTTGATAGGGAAACCAAACTAAGCATTAAAAAGACCCCGAATCACGATTTACGCCCAAGCTTTTCTATCATTCTTGCTTTTGTTTTGAATTGTTGGGTTTTGTTTCTTCAGTTCCGTTTTTATGCTTCTCGCTTGTTTACCCCATCAGGTTCACGGCAGATAAAACTAACTCAGAAGCTTTTAAGCAAAATGCTATAATGAGCCATTTCGGTTGTTCGAAACAAAATCATTTGAGAACGAAGTACGCGAGGGTGAACATGTTCAGCGCTGGTGAATCAGAATCAACGGCGGATTATGTGGGCCCTTAATTAAGTGCGGTATTGCTGGCTTCTGGTCGACCACAACGTGCTTTATTTCGGTCATCCGCTGTACGTTCAAATACCGAACTGGTTCACTGCGCTAGACTATAAGCCCCATGCGTTTTTGTTTTGTTTTGTTTCCCGGGGGTGAAGGATGGCTTTTTAAGGCTGGCAACGCACACGGAAATGAGTGACATATTTAATCAAAGAGCACAGGCTAGTGGTAGCACGTTGCACGTCATGCCGCCATTGTTGCTGATCAGCTGGCTGCAACTTTGTAACCTACCTGTGGTCTACTGTTTGTATTCGACTTCAGCGTTACGCAGTCGTAATGGATCTATCACTGGGTACGAGATACCCACGAATTAGTCTGGTTCCTTGAACAAACTGCCCTTCGGACTTGCGGACTTGTGGCCGGGAATCAGTCTACTTGCAAACATTCAGTTGGTGCAGAAATAGAGAATAGGCCTAGCTGTTTCGAAAAGTTTAAGAAATAAAGGAAGAAATTGACCCGCGCGTTCAAAATCGATGCGCGCGCTGACCAGAGGCCGACTATTTACTTTTTTGAGGCCTAAACTTGATTAATAAAAACTATAAAGTCCCTCCAAATTTCTGTTCCTCCTCATAAAGTAAACTCAGCCCATCCAAATGATACCGCATCTCTGACTGTAGAGAATCTATGGCTGCCTGTAACAAACATAAGACAAATTAATGACAGCACGATGGCTCGCGCTAATTTGAATGATTGGGGTAATGATGAGCAGGAGGAACAGGACGAGGACAAGCGGACGATAATGATAATGCAAGTGACAAAGAATAAAATCATGGAACGTGTTGAAGAAACACATATAAAAGAAAATAAAAAAGGCCATAGTTGAGGAGCACAACGCAGGAAATGGTACAACAGATGATCATGATTCAAGCCTCAAAGAGCTTAACTGGAATTTGCCTTTGTCTCAGTAAATTTTTTTCAGCCCAATTTCATCACAAGTCAGTTTGGAATGCCAACCTTTAAGTTTCTGCTCGGAAATACCTCAACACCACTTTTGTAGAAATTGGACGAAGCCTTAGGCCTATTGCAAGAATTGAAATTTTCACTGAAGGATAGACGCGGACAAATGTTTAGTTTTCACATGCAGCGCAAAACGAAAAGTGCTCACTAATGGAACACTGTAGTGATTATAACATAGACGGGCAGGATAGAGAAAACAACGAATATGAGTTATATTGAACTCAAGTATCATGAACCAAGAGAAATTAAACTAAAAATTGTCAGCAGTGGTCTAAGGAGCACGGTGTTCATTCCCTGACATGAGTAGTCAACAAGGCCGATTTCACGATTCACATACGAAGATGAAACACTGAAATTGGGACGACTAGAATGTAATAACTATAATTACCTTTATGCAATACAACAGTAGCAGGTGCCACACACTCTCAAGCAGGGACAAGACTGCCTATTATCTACCAAAAGAGAAATACAACAAAGACACTGTAATGAACATGGGAAATTCTATAATTATACGCAAGAAACCGCAGGAAAAAATCTGACGGAGACTGTCATTCCCCTATGAGCTCGAAGAAACACCAAGAGAGGGCGCCATGTTCCTGGCAACAGAGGCTCCTTTGGTGGGAACTGCACTTGGCAGGTTCACAAACGACTGTAAAACGCACGAATTACGGTTGTGTTGCCAACCAACAAAAACGACAGTGCTCTTCAATGGACAGAGTTGCTTCAAATCGAAATTACCAAAGGAACAACTGAGGAACCACCCATACCACGCCTGAAAGTTAATTCACACGTACGGACGCCATTTTCCGGTCGAAGCACGTATGTTACAGTGACTGTCGAAAGAAAAGCGACAGCAGATACCAAGGTTATATACGTCACCACTCCTAAAACAAGCTTGAGAAATTGGAATGTTTTTACGGTTTATTTATTCGCAACAGGAATAATTGACCGACTGAGACTCTGGCATAGGAGCCAGTAAGACAAAGACTGTGTGACATCAGCATATCGGCATGCGTACGAGTCGCATTCAACAACTCCGACACATCAGTCAGCAAACGCCACTTTGAGCACGTTCGGGCTTTTCCAGTTGTCTGCGTTTTTGTTTTAGTCATTCCCCATTAAAGCCTTTCCATCATCACGACTGCTTACAGTCTTTGGTGACGCTGTCGATGATAATTACGACTGTAACGCGGAAGTGGTAGCAAGTCAACTTTTACAAGTCCAAGTCGAATCACAAGTCGGTTTTCGCAAGTCTATAAGTCAATTCTCAAGTCTAGCAGTCCCGTCATAAGTCAAGTCACAATTACAAGTCAAGTCATGTCAAGTCAAACGTCGATTTGGTCCAAACATAAGCAAGTCCAAGTAGACCGATAAGGCGAGGGACGTGTGATATCAAGCCGCAGCCAAGTGATTCAGACGTGGCCTTGGGAAGACAAGACCGAAGTAGAAGTCTTACGCTGATTATCTTAAAACCCTTCGCTGCATATGTGTTTTTTCCCATTAACTATTTCTATGTGGATTGTGGTGACGGAAGTCTTTTAATCACGTTATTATTAATTGTTAAACATAAATGTTCTTCTAAATGGTTTCAAATTCCTACATGGATGTCCTCTGCACCCTCAAACCATTAAATGAATTAAAAAAAGAAAAGAAAAAAGGAAAAGGCCAAAAAAAGTCTCCGGTTTCTGGTCACCGCACGCGTCGCCGTAGACCTGCGCGTCGGGAAAATAATTTTTTTTTTAGTTTTGCATAAAACGATTTCTAAAAGCCACCAAACTTACTTGGTCAGCAGGAATTCTGCTACCGCGTAATTTTAACGTGTTTTTGATTGGAGGGGTTGAGTAATATATACGGTAAAGGAATCCCCCTAGGCCTCTACACATTTCAGTCGGGCACTCTGATCAGATGACGTCATCCGTGCATCTTGACACGAAGGCCGTGTCCGAATCAGTTGGCTGCGGCTTGATATTACATATGATTCTATGGGAACCTAGCCTTGGACGCTGCCAAATACTCAGTTTAATTTCTGGCCGTAGCCAATTGATTCGGACCCGGGCCCACGTACGTCTGTGAGAAAGACAAACGAAGTGGTATGCAAATTGAAAACGCTTTTGAGCAACAAACCGTGAGGCGACAGTCTGTTTCAGTGGCGGTGAGGCAGTGGCGGTAGATACGCATGCAGTGGCGATGGACATGCATCGTGTTATGACAACCATACATGTAACAACTCATGCATAGTTAATCGTCACTTGCCAAGAACAAAGGTAGATTAGAATGAGAGGAGATTTTATTTTCTGAGCTGAATTTTCCCCAGTATGTTAAATGCAGCTTGTTCCAGTGAGCCAGGCCAGAACTCTGAACAGCGCCCTCAATAGTTTGGAGCTTTGTATCTAAACCATGCTTGTCAGACATCTTTTCTTATGTTTTCTCTTGAAAGAGTCTTGTCCAACATGTGACAGTTTTCACCAGTTTTACTAGACCAACGTTAGACAGTTACCGAGAGGAGTGTTGCCAAAGAAGTAAGCATTCATTTGACTCTTCATTTAAAGGATTTCTTGAGATTTAAGGAAGAAATTTAGTATAGTGTTTAACGTTAGATTTGCATGAAGTTATTGTTGTAGTGGAACTATGTGTATTTTGTAAGACATGAAGCCAGTTTAAGTTGATATAAATACCCATATAGGTTCACGCTTTAGAACACTAAGATTGAGTAAGACTTCTGAATTACATTAGTTGTTTTCTAAAGTTATATGACATACATAGCTTAGTGTTTAATTTCCGGATTTAGAAAGGTTTTCAAGTTAAAAGTGTTAGTCTTTATAGTGAATCATTTACTTAATGAAAGAACTGATAACTTCAGTCTAGATTTCAGTGACACAACATTAACTAGAAAAACTATATGCACATCAGTATTTTGAATTCAGCCAGTCATGTCATTGCTTTATACATACAGTCCACAGAATTTAGATCATCTTTGGAAATTCAGTTTTATTATAATGGAACAAGCATTTATATTGTTTGTTATTTCCGTGTTTTCCAGATCGAATAAACATGGCTGAGTAATTAGCCCTATAGGCTATACGATTCACAAGACTCCTCTGAGGCTGAGGTGCGTGTTGTACTTCTGAAGATCCACAGCTTGTTTCTTTTAAGCTAAAACAGAAAACAGTGTATCATGTACCTCATGAGAATTTTATTTTCATTTTGACTCTGGAGCTGAACTGTTTTTATTTCATATTTTTTCCTATTTTGACGTGCCACTTGTTTTCTCTGAGCTAAAGCAGCAAACAACGTGCAAAGAATATCTTATACTGCTACCTCGTTAGAATTTCATTTAAAACCGGAAACCGGAGCTGAACATTTATTTTCACCCATGACCAGAAACCGGAGTCTTTTTTTTTTTGGCCATAGGTAGTGAGCTTTGACCCTACAACAGTTCTTTGTTTGCTTTCAGTAACTGCTCCGAAGCGTAACAATGCACATGAAATATAGCCTTTAGCTTTGCTATCTATACCAGGGTAGAATTACCCAGGCACGCGCTTTCTGGAAAGCCGCGAAGCTTCTAAAAGCCCGACAGCCTTTAGAAGGTCGTTTATGGGTCACAGGCAGGGCCTGGGGCAAGCCATGCACCAGTTGATATAATAAATACAGGATACATGTAACTCACATCTGGACGATGTTTGTACACAGCTGAATGGCACTTGGCCAGGGACCAGCGCGATTTTTTTGTCCCTACTCAGGGGAGGCCCCGTAGTTAGAGGTGACTAAACCAGGCTGTTCAGCATGAACACAAGGAGGATTTATATGGGAGGTGACGGCAGGTGGCCGTTTTTATTTTTTATAAATTCATGAACAAAACGGCGTACCCAGGGGACGTCAGTTGAAGTTGAACTCCGTTGAACGCAAGGCAAGTTGATAGGCTCAAACTTAAGTGGGTTCAATTGAGCAGAGTTGTAGAGTCTGAATCAAGTCACGTGTCAAAAGCTGAGTGTTATGGCGAGTCAGGTTACGTGTCACGAATATAGCAACTCGAGTCCGACCGTGAGTCCAAGTCAGGTCAATCGAGTCTATAACTCTGCTGTGTAGAAAACGTAATCATGGTTGTTATCTCTCCATACACCTAACATTTCTGCACACGCGCAATGACACCACTTACCTCTTGCCTTGCGTGCAATCCGTTCTTTCCAGCCAAACCAGCCCGAGTCTGAATCGGCGTTGCCAGCTGCTTCGTTCATTCTTTTGATACCTTTCTTTCCTGTCAAACAACAGAGAAAAATAAAGAAACTGATACTTCGTTTATTTTGATATAGTAATAGATTTCCTTGACAAAAGCCATCCAATGTGGTATAAAGTCAATTCCACAAAAGTCAAAATGTTAATTGCCAAAGAAAAGCCTTTGTGCTACACAACTGGATGTGGGTGTACAAAACATACATTTTTTTACATAGCGACAGCGGCGTTTCCAAATATAAATGTGAAATTCAAGTTATACTCGTTAACCTGACTGATCTATTCAACTCACCATGTCCACTTGGTTCTTCAGAACTCATCACAGTTCCAACAATCAAAATGATGATGAAAAAACAGCCCAGAGTCACGGCCTTCATGATGTCAACCTTAATTGATCTACAACACGAAGGGATCAATCGATTGAGAATCTGCAACCAAGGATACAATTCCACTATCTTCCCTCCGCACTTTCTTAAAATCCTCACACTACGGGCAAAAGAACACGAGCTTTCCAATACAACATCGAGAAATGTTCATTACAGGGACGGCCTCGACGCTTTTGGTCATTTTAAGTTTGTACACATGTGAATGGGCCATTGCTTTGTTTACAATCTGTAGCAGTGACCACCATCCAATGAATCAGAGCAATGGCTTTCCATAGGCCACACCTCTCTTTTAGTATGCACTTGTGTATAGAACGCCAAAGAGGCAAAAACTTGGAGGCAACACATCGATCGTTCTTCAACATCGATCGATCGTCCCCCTACATCGATCGATCGTTCTCCTACATCGATCGATCGTTCCCTACATCGATCGATCAATCGATCGATCTCTTTTGATCGATGAAGAAAGACCGATGAAGCTACATCGATGAAGCTACATCGATGCCAACGTTATGTAACCTCTTCCAGCACCAAATTACATGTGTTCCCAATAACCATAGCCCACCAGCACACAAGGCGGTGTTGAGTACTCGTAAGTCTGGTCCCGAGCCAATTGAGTTCTCATATTGGTGTTTATATCTAGTTTCCTTGTCATGAAACCACTGAGAATATTTTCTATTTTCCCCTTGATGGGATGCCAGTTCATCATGGGTCGCTCCCTAGGGGTGCAGTGTCCCAATTAAAGGAAAATTCTCCGCCAGGCTGAGGCGCACAAAAAGTACCCCCCAGAGATTGTTTCGAAAAGAGGGGCCAAGAAATGGTGGGATTGTGTCAGTATGGCCCAGGATTATCTCTGTAGATTCAGGGGCACCCATCTGGGGGCAAAGCAGACCAAAATGGGATTGAAAATTAGTCAGAAGAGCCCCAGGAAGGTAAGGGATGTCATTTGAAAAATGGCCGCTGGGAGGGCTGGGCAACATTCACTTTTTTGGGGGGGGAGTTTGTTTTGGGCGGATAATTAAAAAATTCATTGGTTAACCTACTAAAAATTGAAAATCAAATGAAACCTGAAGGACCAAACAACACACTGTTTTTTGTTTGAGAGGCCTCAGGGACTTCAGTTGCCTGCCATGGGGCTTCAAACTTGGTTGATTTTACACTATTTTCAATGGAGCTTGAATTGGTTCAGTGCACCCCTGGCCACTGTGGGCAGACATATTTACTCCAGGTGGATACGAATTTTATTTTCCACACCGATGCCTGGCGAAACCGGCAGAACCAGCTGAACCAGTGGAACTATTCTTTCATTCATTGACCTACATGTACATGTACTTTGCAGAAACCAGGCTTGCACACAAGAGACCCTTGTATATGGTGACCCCTGCCCAGCCTCAGTGACCGCGGGCGCAGTTTCAGTACACCATGGTGTATAATGTACTGTACATGTACACGTACATGTACAGTGTACATGTACATGTGTATATGCTATACAGTAAAGGGTATTTTGTTGGGCCAAGCTTCGGTTACCGTGTGGCTCAGGGACCAGCATGTGGTGTTCCCGTTTCGTGTAGGTTCAATGTGAATAAAAGACCTTCCGTTTCTTGATAACTAGTAACTTCTGAAGTTTACCAGTCTTTAAAATGTTTTGTCCTTTACAATATGTACCCAAATGTGTGACATGAATGACAAAACTTAATACCTATAAAATTCAAAGGTATTAACTTTGTGCAAATCTTTAACATGTTTATTAACATTACACAAAAAGAAGAGATAAATCTACAAATGAACACAAAGTTAGTGTGACAGAAAAGACATTTGTACGAGTCCGGCAAGTAACGTTCGTAACTCGGTGTCCTGTTGTACGCGTTAAATACTTATACGATGAAAATATTTTTTTTCAGAGACATTGTGTATTTACTGCTTGTCACAAACAAGGAAAAACTGAAATAAAAAATAAACATATTTCCTATTGGCTATTTAGATGCGGGAAAATGAAAGACACCGTTTTAGATGCGTTGCGTTGATGTCCACAAATTAATAAATCCTTGATCTTTTGATATCTGGGTATGTATCAACTAACTTAATGTCATTGCAAATTATTTATTCAATATGTATTTTTTGCGGGAGATGTTAATTTGGGGAGATGTTAATTATATATAACGGGTTTGCCCTTACCCAACGTATATTGATAAGCACTGTATGTACAAGTTGCCAAAAATGTGTTTCCTTAGTCCAACTTCAGAAAAAAAAGCGACATCAAACGAACTTAGACCACCAAAAGGAAACTGTACCATGATGGCATAAGTAATCTGGTTAATAACGTTTTCTCTGAGGTTCAAGAGTTTAATCGCGAATCAACGCGTGGGGAATGGGAGTCCACTCTTTCAATCACCGCCGATCGCTATCCTATATAAAAGGACCCCAAATCATCAACAGAATGCTGAAGTTGAAAGTAACTTTCCTTGAAGATGCTCCTTTTCCTATAGTGGACTCCCGATTCCTGCATAACTCCCAGTTTACCAGAAAGACGCTCTGAGATCTTCCTTTCAAACACATTCCTTATAAACATACCAGTAGGTCGGGCATATCTGAGCACAGATCGAGTATTCCCCTGCACAAGATATAAGAACAATTTCTAACACACTCTGTATCTGCTATTTTGGATAACACTTTGTGTTTGAAACAAAACAATAGCTTTCACATGCACCTGCATTTTTCCGACGACAGCCTCGAGGTCAGATTTACCAGCACCAGTACGTACATGTACATGCATTGTGAATCGTGTCCTTGCTGTTTATTATTACTTTTGGTATGAGTGGAGTACTGGGAGTCAAAGTGTTCTGGAATATTTACGATCCCCTCGCTGTTGTTTTGCGGTCAAGGCCCATTGCATGCCGCGCATGGCCCCGCCCCGAGTAGTATGTATGTATAAGCATAGACTAGCTCTATGGTATGAGAGTTCGAGACCAGCATCCTTTTTCACTCTGCTTCCACGCTCCAACCCACACACAGACCCAATCCACTCACACAAGTGTGTATTTGCCTGCAACTGGGGACCCCTTATTGTTCCTCTTTTGTATATACTTTTTTAGAAGACTGCCCATATGTTTTGTACACAGTTGTCGATTGGGGACCCTCTGTCAATTGGGGACCTTATTGTCCTCTATTGTTCAGGGTCCCCAATTGAATGCGGAAACAAACTCATTGACCTTTGACCCCGGCGCTTTCCATAAACAACTCGAAGTGAAACCCACCGCGCCTCATTTTTAAAAAGCTTCATTTTAAAAACATGGGAATTAATTTTAATAACCTGTTTATTTTGGTAAACAAAGACAATTCATTTTGGGCTAAGTTTGCTGACATTACAACGGCTTACAAAATGCCAAAGGTCACCCAGCAAGAAGTCGTGGATCGTTGGACCACAGACCCGATGTCAGTTATCAAAACCAAGTCAATTTTTGCGGTGTAATAAATTTTGGACGGATTGTTTACCCCACTCAATACGTATCTGCTTTAATGAATTTCCACGTGTATTATACGGTAAAAAGATCTTCGCCGAGTGTATGGCATTGCCTACCGACAATATATTCTATCCTTGTAATAATTATTAGTTTAACAATGCGTTTAATGACACTTGTTGCGAGTTTAACATGGATCCAAACATGAATTTTTGGCAAGCCCGCGATCCTTTATACAAACGGCCTCGGTACCGCTTATTATTACGACACTGCAGGTTTTGCTGATGCCGGTGTAAAAAAAATGGCTGCCCGTTCCAGGGAAAAACTACGACCCAAAAAAGACTTATAATGAATACGGTCGCGAAGGCAATTTAATGGATCTCTATTGGCAACCCGTGGGTTCGAGTCTGACGATTAAATATAAAATTGACTGGATTTTACAAGATGCTAAAGCCAAATCAGCGTGGCAAGACTTTACTCCACACAAAAGGGCAATTACAGACGTTGGAATTACAATGGTAAATGAATCGATTCGAGCTTACGTCTACGCGTTACTTGGTGCCCAAACTCAAAAAGACGAGCGTTTTAATCCCCGGCACCGGATTAGACGTACAACGACAGTTTATTACGATCGTGCAATCTTTAAAGACAAAATGACATAAAATAAAAAGGTACTGATGTTAAAACTATTACTCTGCATATTTTCTGACCAATGTTGGCAATCAAGATCACGTAATACACTTGTGTCTCAAATGAAATAAGTAATAGAGTTTATGCAGCATGAAAATTCACGAACTTATCCCTCCCAAACAACATGATGATCACATACCTGAGAGCCAGCAGTATGCTGAGCAGTACAAATGGATATTAGGAAAACCTACCTGTCGATGATTGGAGCAAAAAAACCCACAATTTTTTGACACGATGTCTGAGGATTAAACTTGAACACAACTTTCAGCGATAACTAACAGTAATAAGCAGTGAACGGCAAGGTGAGCTTTTCTTTCGCCAGAGGGCGCTAGTTACGTTTTTACTGTACGCGACTCCTAAATAGCCGGCGGTTACACTCCCCCTTTCTAAACATGTTGTATCGTCCCGATACCAGGATAGACTGTTGTGTTACAAAATGTCTTACAGAATGCAGGAATCCAACCACCACTCACCTCAGTATGAAAAGTTTTGCAGGTAGGTTGGCCCAAAGCATCATACGTAAATCTTTTCGAAGGCACCCGAGGGCTAGTTGATCGTACTGGATGGTTTTCTACAGACTCGTAGGTATCCCCAGAACACTGGGGATGTAGATCACTGACACTGCCCCCTCCCCAGGTTCAGTCTCTAGGTCTGACACAACAGAAGGGCCCTCATGGCAGGAACCACTGCAAGATGTATCGATGCTCATCTTGTCACGACCATCGGCTCAGATTCACCCAAATGAGACGTCCCTCCTACATCCTCATCCTCATCACCATCTTTAAGTTAAGACTCAACCACCGGTTCGCGTATCGTGTGAATCCCTATTTAGGGACTCTAGAAAAAATGCAACTACATGGAACACCTACACTCACAACTGTTTCAGTCTTGTCAGAATCATCGCTATTAGACTGACCATTGAGGTCAGCGGCTAAACAACATGTACCATAACCTGTCAGAGTGTTTGCAGGATCTACAACCCTTATTTCCATGGCTTCCGGCAGTTGCTCGTCTACTCTAATAGTTGGGGAGCTGCCGTTTAGCTCCGAACTCATGGGCGATTTCTTGGGAACAAAAAATTCAGCATCTGCTCACAAGTCACTATCCGTGCTCGCCACAAAAGCGGCACAGTCTGTTACAGGAATGGTTTCCTTTTGCCAACCTGAGATGCAACATCAGGGTATAATGGTTGGGAAACTGGCTCAGGATTTTCACTATTTGGCCGAGTACTAATCAGTTCTGCCTCCTCTTAATCAGACGCTTCATCTATATCTTCAGTCTGGGATGGAATCTGACCTGATGATGCTTTCCTTTACTTCTCTGGGCCTTTGGGTTGACCTGTCTTGGAACGAATCTGCTCCATGCATGTTTCTTTTCAGCTGGTAGAGTACCCAACATGTTCAGCAATGTGCGATTAAACCGTTCAGGCTGTGGATTGCGGGTGATAGGGAGTTGTCCTTGACTTCGACTTACCCAGAAGCGAAACAAGCTCCTTGATAAGGTTGTTGTCAAACTCCCGACCTTGGTCTGAGTGGAGACGTTTTGGTAGTCCGTAGTGCAGGAAACAATGGTCCCACAACACAATCGCAACAGTTCTTAAAAATTTATCTCTAGTTGGCACAGCTTGGGCACATCTAGAGAAATGATCGGTTGAGACAAAGATGTATTTGTACCCACTCTTATCAGGTTCCAACTTCAGAACATCCATGCACACCAACTCACAAGGAGAGCTGGTGGGGATGTTAACCAAGGGTCTATCTACTTTTTGTGTTGTCTTTCGGGCTACGCATCTGATGCGCTGAGAAATCCAGCTCTCTATCTTAGAGGTCATCTTGGGCCAGTAAAATCGCTGTTGAGCCAATGCAACTACCCTTTCCACTCCCATGTGACCAAGGTCATCATAAAGTCCTCGTACTGCCCACTCCCGAAACCGTTTTGGCAACTCCAACCGGAACATCTCTTCACCACCTTGACTGATGATTCGGCGATACAAGATACCATCTCTCAAAACTAACCTGTTGAACTGAGCCAACAAGAGTTCCTGCTCACGAGTTACGTCAACTTCAGCGTTCGGCTTCTCTCCTGTCTTGACGGCTGAAAGGATTCCTTGGATAGAATCATCATTGGCTTGCTCTCTCTACCAATCCACTGGTTCATTACATACTCCACTTGGATCAGAATACAACGCAGGAATAGCCTCAGTACTCAATGCCAGAGAATGCACTAAGGATAGGTGGACGTTTCTCCACTACTGCATACAGAACTTGACATTAGACTAACAAAGACAGCACGGATGACGTCAATGTCACGGTACTTTTCAACAATGTCATTCTCATCCTGCAAGCGAACCTCAAGGATATGAATCTGGTCCCTCTGATTATCAGCATTTTTGTCTTTGGGGTGTGGCCTCTGGGACAGTGCATCAGCATCTCTATTACAGAGTCCGGGCTTATAGTGTAGTGTGAAGTCGAAGACAGTGACTGCCGTAAGCCAACGGTGGCCTGAAGCATCCAGTTTTGCTGTGGTGGGTACATAGAAGATTGTTGTCTGTGAAAACTTTTGTCCCCCTCTGCTGTGTACAGGTAGTCCTTGAGCTTTTCTGTGATGGACCATTTGAGCGCCAAAAATTCCAGTTTGTGAGCAGGGTAGTTCCGTTCAGTACGGGTTAACCCTCTGCTAGCATAAGCTACGAGACGTAGCTTACTTGATGATTCCTGACACAAGAAAGTACCTAGTCCATCCCTTGATGCATCGATATGCAAGATGAATGGTTGAGTAACATCAGCAAAGGCCAACACAGGGGCATCGCAAATCTTCCCCTTTAATGTGAGAAAAGCTTCATCACACTCGACAGTCCATGAAGAACCAAGTGACGACCTACTGTCCCCATGTTTGTTGGGATTAGAATGGGACGATGACTCCCGCCTTTGAAGTCCTCCAGTAGGCTGATGCAGAGGTCTAGCAATTTTGGAAAAACCTTTAATAAATCGGCGGTAGTATCCACAAAACCCCAGGAAAGAGCACAACTACCTAACATTGTCTGGACTGGGCCAAGAGTTAATGACATTCACCTTTGCAGTCAGTCTGGACACCCTCCTTTGACACAATAAGACCGAGATATTTCACTGATGTGCAGCACAGTTCACACTTCTCTGGTGCCACTTTTAAGCCATAATGAGCAAGACGGTAAAATGTTCTCCCCAACCGCCTCTCCATCTCTTCAAGTGTTGGTGCAAACACAATAATGTCGTCCATGTAGACCAGGACCTCAGCTCCTCAAAATCTAGACCAGCCATACACCGCTCAATTAACCGCTGGAACGTCGCAGGTGCCCCTTTGATGCTTTGAGGCATTCTCTCGAATTGGAAAAACCCAGCAGGGCACACAAAAGCCGTCTTTTCCTTGTCCTGAGACTTCATTTGAATCTGGTAATTTCAAATCTACAACCGAGAACCACTGACTCCCATGCACACAGTCAAGGACGTCCTGCACAACAGGAACTGTATACTGATCTGGCAAGGTACGAGAGTTCAGTGTCCTGTAATCTACACAACCTTATTTGGCAATTCTTTTTGCGAACAATCACAATGGGAGAGCAATACTGTCTCTTGTTCACCCCAATACCCATCAATTTCTGCAGGTGCTCCCTGAGATCCTTCAGATCAGTCCGTGACCCACGCCTTGATCTTTCACGAAAAGGCTGTTGGTCATTTAGTCGGATTTCATGCTGGATCCCCTCTGTAAGACCAACATGCCATTCATTTCTGGAAAATACTTCAGACCTACGGTAGGCTAGTTTCTCAATTCGGGGCCGCCACTCTTTGTTTATAGGACCCCCATACAAAAGGCTGTGTGGCAAACTCCGCTTCTGTAATAGATGGTCCAAAACTACATTTTTCCGTGGTGAAACTGATGTACCCACAGAAACGTTGCTGCACTTTGCATGCTCATAGTTCCTGGTCATGCTTGTCCATGCAGGTAGAAATGGTCCTCCCAAGACACACTTGTTTGGCACGGGTACGCTTTGTCCTGTTGAATTCATTAAGCACACAATGACCTTGTTGAACCCGGCATCAACATGAACGAGAGAACTCACCACCTCCAATCCACTATGTAACCTGCACAGAGAGGCAGCGTCAATCAACACCGTAGTTGGTGTCCCATTTCTATTTCGAACCGTGACAACAACAGTTTTCAAAGAATTGGGTGGAACTTCCATTTTTCCCTTGCAACGTAGACTTATCAATCCCGAGTGCCCATCAGGTCGAAGCTTCTTTTGAAATGTAAAATCGTTGTAGATTTTGGTGCAAGTTGGGTGAACCTCTCCTTTTTTCCTCTGAGCACCCTCAAGAGAGTCTTTTCCCAAAAGACTGACCCGGAATCTGGGTCCCATGGGGCCGAACCCCTTTCCAGGTCAGATTTTGACCCCCTTTTGGGCCATATTTGACCCTTTCTCGGTCAATTATGACCCAAAACATAATTTGACCCGGAAAATGTCAGGCCCCATGGGACCCAGATTCCGGGTCATTCTGACCCAGGTAATTCAGAGTGTACGGAATCGACTGCTTTCAAGTAACACTGGATTTGACACCAGTTTGTTTCCTCCACGGAGATCATCACCAAGGAGGCATATTTTACGAGCAAACTACCAGACCATGATCTGAAATCAGGCCGGTGCCCAGTATCCAGAACTGCCAAAGGACAAACAAGGCTGGGAAATGCAAGGACAAAGACATTCCTACAAGTGGAATGAAGGGGACATTCTGCCAAAGGAACTGCGGACCTGGCAGTAGAGCACATGGTTCATGCAGAGGACACAAAGAAAGAGGAAGACAGCGATGAAGATTGATAACCTTATGAAAGCATTGGCAATTTTTCATATTTCTTTTCAATGATTTCATTGCATTGACAGTGATGTTTTATTTTCATAAAGTATCACCATGGTATAACAGCCTGGAGTTATTGCAAACCAAAATAGGTTCCTCATGCACTTCAAAAATAAATGGGGGTACGGGAGAATAAAGAATAAGTGTTAATGTGTGGTTTTATTCTGTACAAGTGTACACACACATGCTTGGTTTAATAACATTTTCCTATATTCTGTGCCATCTCTTTTCTCAGAATAAAAATGAACCAAAACTGTTGCCATGGCAACGACATGTGCAAACTCCATTAAAAGTGGTATCTTTAACTAGACAATTTAATTATCTTCAATTTAAAACCAAAGACAAGCTTATTGCAGTATTAATTTAAATGGTAATTGATGTTTAATGAAATTCTACTAGTTTATTTTGCGTTGCTTTGGCACCGGCTCTAGAGCCCATACCCATCACTGGATCAAAACAAGAAGCGGATTTTGAGTCTTAACTATTGGAAAACTATAGGAACAAAATATTCCTAATGGGGTGGGGACGGGGGGGTCTACCCTGGCCAAGATCAGATATGACATTCATAATGAGAAGGAAAACATTTTACTTGACAGAAAAAAAGTACATATATTGTAAGTTTGCATGACACATCCACAAGCGCATGGGGAAAAAATCACCTTTTGGATGACCCTTGGTCATTATTGTCATGTAACATGAAAACGTTTTGTCCAACGAAGTGGCAACACTGCCAAATGTCCATGCTGGCGAAGAGGGGAGGGGGATCAAACACAATAAGGTGAGGGGGCGCTTAGGGTGTTGTTGGACACGGCCCACGATGTACATTAACCTGAACAATTAAGTTAAAACAGTGCATGTTAATATTTGTATGGTTTCGGTACTAGGTAACACATTCGTCTGTTGAAAAGAATGATTTGTTTTTAAACGGCCAAACCTGGATAATGAACGTAAGGCCCATCCTCCGGATGGACATTTCTCTCAGAATCACGGGATTTACATCCCAAGTGACACTGAGCAGGGCACATGTCACTTTTTTTCAACATTATAAACAAAACTTTTCCTGTTTTTTATACATGTATATACATGTTCATAGACGGTCAGTTTCGTTTGAAACTAGAGCAGCGCATTCGACCTCCAGCTCAGAACCCAGTTTGTCTCTAAACCAGCTCCGAGAGGCCACTCCTGATCTTTCCACACTTTTCAGTGAAACACACTTTTCGACCACGGTCATCATATCATTATTCGAGCAAAATCCAAGATCACAGGGAATCTCAGTCCCCCTCATGTCTCTGTCATCTGATTTCCACCCTCAGCGACAGATTTGCTGTCTCCCGCCTCGGCATCTACATTCGCGCTCACGACCGTCTCCATTGACGGGGCAGGGGGTTTCAGATCTGCACCATGGGGTCTGGAGGCCATCACAGACTCGGGAACCGGTACACCAAGCATATCAGGAAGCATCCAGGGTTTTAACCATCCGACTAGCGGGGTGCTTCCTGGTGAGTAATGAGCCTCCTTGTGGTAGAACAGCAGACCATCTAGCTCAGCCTGGAAACGATAAAAGAGCAATAACAATAATTCATAGAGCCCTAAGACAGTTGAGCCATTTCTATTGGTCAAAACCCGTCAGGTGGCTGGTCTTTACAAGACCGGCTCAGGAGACCACGCTGATAATTTCCCTTGCCTTCGGCCCTGACCACTACCAGCAGCCAATCTGTTCTGGTCGTATTTATTCCATTATTAAAAGAGCAAATAACAAACAAAGGGGAAAACGTAGAGAAATTTCATTTCTTCTAATCATAAAATTTCGAGCCTCTCATATTCCATTTCTTGAAGGTTTTGGACATCGTGAAGTTGTTACGCACCGTACGTTAGTTTTGAATTGCTTAATTTTCGGCGAATGCACGCGCGCACACAGCAGAAAAGAACAAAATAGTTTCTTATTTTTTTGCATGTGATTCAGTTAAAGATGTACAAAAAACCCAACAAAATTTCAATTTGGGAAACCTGGTCTAACGACACAGGGACACAAGGACGACGCATCGGGCAGAGTTCATGAGTTCGAGTGACGCATTCGAAATAAAAATGGATTTGTAGGCACCAACATATTGTTGACCTTTCAGTTTGGAAACGCTGATCACGTCTCGATTCCCGGGGAAGGGGACCACATTAGCTCTGATAACCAGCCAAGATTGAATGAAGGGGTACCTGAGTGGCTTCTACCATCCGCCGTCCCGTCTCATCACTCTCAGTTATTTGTACGTTACTACATAAACACACAAGATATGTAAATCTTAGTTTCATTACGTTTATCCCGGTTCCCCCATCGGCCATCGGACTTCAGTATCTGTCTTTCATATCACATTGGGTTTCCAAAGACACGTATCCCTCAAAGCGTATCGAAAGATTTCTTAACGAACTAAGCCTCGAAACTCGTTCTTTATTTGCAAAACCATGCTTTTACTGAAACCTTAACTACATACTGCACTGCTACGAGTCAAAAGTATCGCGGATTATTAACGGCTAACTTTAAACACATACAATATAACCAAACCATACTGTGTAACACAAAGGTTACGAAGAAGACTTGCGGTGCCCAGTGTACTGAAGGAATCCTTTGAGAAGACAAAACATTAGCTGGTTGCAAACTGATACAAAACATTTTCATTACTGAAGCCAAATTGACGACAATATCGAACAGTTACCCTAACGATTCACGTATATAATCCACAGTGAAAAAAGAAAGGTTCTGAAGAATGTAATGATTCAACTATGCTGTGCTGTTTCCAGATACAATGTAGCCTTCCCTGTTAAAAAGAAGACATTAGACAGAACATTTCACAGGAGCTCTCGTAACCTTTATTCAAAATCCATACACAATATAAAATAAAAGCTGGACTCAGTGGCGTAAATCTGTGCTGGAAATTGGGGGTGAGGTGGGGAATGACTTGTCCGGCCATGGAAATTTGAAAGGCGGGGAGGGGGCCTACAACAGACATATATACTCTATATGGGGGTGATACTCGTGATAAAAACGCTTAAATCGTTTTGCTCATCATTGGGGGGGGGGATTCAATAGCCCACCCCCACCTCAAAATGGGGGGGGGGTATATACCCTTATCCCCCTAGGATTTACGCCATGACTTGACTGTTCGTTGTTTTTTCAACTTCTTAAAAATAGCCGAAATGCTGGACAATATACCTTCAACAGCTGGGAGATGTAATGAATAGCAACAATTTCGAATAATCATACCAGAATCTGTAAAAACATGTCATTTCATAGGTTCATTGTAGTTTAGTTAGTTTAGACTAGTGCGTGTACTTGTTATGGTCCAGCATGAAGAGAGAGAAAGAGAGAGAGAGCAATGTATTTTCATTATCGGAAGAACGAACATGATGTCTTTACACAATGTGTACAACTGAGCAAAATGACTGTAGCAAAGGAGTTTTAAAGCAAGACCCACATATGATAAGGATGAAGTTGTAAATCGGGAATTGAATAAAAATCAAACATAAAGAACTACACATAAAGCTAATTCGCCCTTTGTTTTTGTGTGTTTTTTGTCTATACTTCCAGAATTACAACAGTTTTTTTTTTTCAGAAGATACATATCAACTCACTTAAGAAGTACGGAGTATAATGGTGTAGGTGCGTTAATTTCTAAACCTAAGTAGTACACAAAATCAAACCCCTTCAAAATCCGCTTCCGATCAAGTGAACTCAGCCTGTCAAGATTCCAGTAACAATCTGGAAAAAGAGACGAAAAGGTAAAACAATGCAATTAAAATAGATGAGGATTTATCTCAAACAAAGTATAGTCATATTATTTATGAACACGACAACGCACAATAATTCGAATGACAAAATGACACAAGAATCGATATAAATGGTAAGAAGAAAAAAACTGAAGCTCGCAACGTCGACAAAGATGACTATGAAAATAATGCAAAAACATATGAAAAGGATGGTTTTTAACCTAAAAGGGCTTGGGTAGGATCCAGCCTGGTCCTTGTCAAATTTTCCTGATGACATGAACTCGATCTGCCGTGCTGATCATTCGAAAGGCCAGTTCATACTTCTGGCGCATGCGAAAGCAAAGCGAAGCGAATTTGACGTCACAAAACTCCAGCGAAATTTCGCTCCAGTTGAAATGTGTTCAATTTTTGCAAAAAGGCAAATATTTGATCTAATGTCACAAATTCGTATTTCATTCACTTTCTTGAAGTAGGAACCCGCCTCAAGTTTTGCAGCCAACAACACTGCCTAACAGCTTCATCGAAACTGGGCCAATCAGCTCTGCTCGGAAGAACAGTGGTCGAATAGTTTTGTCTATACGACATGGGCCTGGATACACACATGTACCTAAAACCACTGATGTCGAGAAAAGCGATGTCATTGGCACAGACTCACCTGCTAGACATTGCATACTCTGCCTTTTTAAGCAAAGCAGCAACTGCAATAAGGATAACAAATCGTACAGCATCCTGTCGAAAGACACAAAACGAATTGACTGTCACTGTGGCCAAACCGACTGACACACGACAAAGTCGATGAACAATTGGAGTGTACCACACGAACAAAAGGAGGCGGCAACCAATAGATGGAGCTCAACAAACTAACATTCAAGCAAACCTTTGTGCACAAGGAACCATGAAGCGTAACATGAGCATAGCTAAGTTGCTTTTGAATATGAAGATTTGCTTCCAAGCTAAAATGAAAACAAACAAAAATGAGTACACGGCAATTAATGCCACGCTTGAAAGTGCGGAGATAAGCAGACAAATTCTCTTCATGGTCGAAACGAAAGGAGACAACACCCAAGATGCCAAACCATACAGAATGGTGAATCACGTCATACGACGCCACTCCTATGAAAATGCACCCGATCGAGGCTAGTTTAGGTCAGTTCCTGTAAAATTGTTTTAGATACTTCTTGCGACTACACATTCTGAGTCGATAATTTCACTTAGGCCAATGGTCAGGGCTTTTCAAACTGAAATTTACGGATTTATTCAATACTATTACCAAAAGAATAATTGATGAAAATGGTGGCACAGAGACAAGTGGCACAAAGTTGCACGACAGCATCATATCATTATGTTTGTGACTATCCTAAACCTCGACGTAGGCCTAGCAGTCTGAAAACGCCAAGGTCAACAAGCTCCAACTCCTTCCACTGTTTGCGCTCCCGTGTTTGTCAGTTCCAACAAAGCCTTTCTGTAATCGTCACTGCTTAGCCACCGAAGAATCTTCGGCGACGCTGTCGGCCATCATTACAACTACAGCGTGAAATGTTGCTGTTTAATTCTTAAAAACACCCAAGACTTCTGCACACTCCGTGCATGTGATACCACTTACCGCGCGCACTGCGTGCAATCCGGTCTTTCAAAGCAAGCCAATCTGAATTGGTGTCGCCATCTGCTTGGCCCACCCCCTTGATGCCCAGCTCTTAAATCAATATTGGAGAAACAGTAAAAATAAAACTTTGTTTTGCTTCATACAGCCATAAATGACCTTAATATAATACACGTCATCCAACGTGATACAAAGAACGCAAAAGAGAGCAACATTCGTCACCGATCAGACAAGAGTGCGACATCGCCAACAGCAAAGCCTCTTTTCTGCACAGCTGGGGGAGCACAAAATCAATGCTGAGCCATATTCTCTGTGTTAAGAGTCTTCCTTTGCTAGGGCAGTACAAAATCAGTGGGTAAACGGACTCTATGCCCTGTAAGAATCACTTTACAATAAGCTCCAATTGTAGATACATTTGTACGCACTTTTAACAGAAAATCCCCAAACTGATGGAATAAGACTAGTGTGACATCATAATAGACAAAATAGCTTTATACGAAAGAGGTCGTCCTTTTTAACGTTATAGGCCTATGGGGGATTTCAACCCCCCCAAAAAATAATATATTCCCAATTCCATTTACCCTCCCTGCCCTCGTTGATCAGTTCAACTTACCACGTTCTTTGGGTACTTCAGAACTCAACACAGTTCCAGCAATGAAAATGACGATGAGAAACAAGTTGAGAGTCACGACCTTCATGATGCCAGACTTAATTCCACTGAAAAAAAAATGGGGACGATTCAGTTTACAATCGTCTACCAAGGAATATGATTTCATGTAGTCCATACACTGTACACGAAAGCTGCACAATCCCATCGATGTCATCAAACTTGATCCACGTAATCCTTTGGTACCGGTATCATCAAATTTGTGACTCTAAATATAAATAAATTACATCAGCTCACACAGAACAGGAAATAGTATTAGTTGATTTTGAATTGAATAATGCATTCTCACAAAGCAAAAAGATACATAATGTGCTTACACCGAATATATACATTTATTTATACATCAATATGCATGTGTGGCTCTATTATTTTATCAGCAACAGCTAAAGGACAAAGAGGATTACATTAGAAGAAATATTCAAACAAGGGATTACCAAATGGCATTTTTATCTTTTATCAGCAGGAAGATCTATATTCAATACTTCAAGGAAATGTCTCGTATGTGGTATTTTAAATCAGCTACTC